CCTGGCCCCTCCCAAAGTCTGTCAGTCAGCCCTCCTTTGTGTTTATTGCTGGAGCCTGCTTTCCTGCAGCTTGACTGGAGGGCCAGGTGTTCTCATGCTGCACCTCTTCCCCCTGCCCAAAGCAACAAGCTTTTGTACACCCCTTCTTTCTGCCTGTCCTAGATGACTCAGGCTCTCTGATGGCAACAGTACAGAGGGGAGAGAAGGGGACTATGGGGAGAACAGGGGACATCTGAACAACAGACAAGAATAATAAAATTATATATCAATAACGCTTTTCTTAATATTCACACAGTATTCATCCCTTAACTGTGAGAGACAATTATCTCATTATCCATCTCTGACACATCTCTTGAAATTTTGGCCACTTTGCTTTTCAAAAACTTCAGAAAAACTGAAATTGTTTATTTCTGTGCTCTTTATCAGCCTGCTGCTAAACAGCCCAATCCTCCCATCTCCCTCTCCCACCCCAAAATTTCCCCGGCCCTCCTTCCCTGCACATCTCACTCCTCCCCACTGAATCCTTCCCACTGCAGGGAGCTGCTCAGGAGCCACATGGTCCATCCCTGGATTCTCCAAGCACTGACTGCCCATCCACTCTGACCACAGCCAGGGGCCACATCCCACTGCCTGCCCAGTGTCCATCCATGGAGGTGACCACCCTGTCCCCATCTCCTGCCTCACCCACTGAAGGAGATGATCTGTGTGAGACAGATGTCGCCACCGTGGCCACACACAGTGTGACCCTCCTCATCTGTCTCTCTGGGCAGGCTGGCAACGGGGCTGTGCTCTGGCTCCTCGGGTTCTGCATCCAGAGGGACACCATGAAACCCATCACTGCCTACATTCTTGACCTGGCCATCATCAACTTCCTCTTCCTCATCTTCATCTTCATGGTCCCCTCCACTCTACTCTTTCTGCAGGAGGATTTCTCCTGCTCCTCCATCATGTCCCCAGCATCCATACGCTTCCTTTTCCTTCTCTTCCCGATGTTCCACAGCGTAGGGCTGTACCGGCTGATGGCATCAGCATCGAGAGGGGCAGGTCCATGCTCTGCCCACCTGGGCTCTTCTGCCAACTTCCCCAGGACCTCTCATGGGTGGTGGTCACTGCCACGCTCTGGGCCCTTTCCATCACTGCCATCGCTGCCATTTCTGCGGTGAATTCCCTGTGCCAGTCACAGGAACACAAGCTCTGCCAGGGAGCTCTCATCTCCCTGTACATCCTCAGCTTCCTCGTCTTTGCTCCATCCATGGTCATTTCCAGCACAATCCTCTTCATTCACTTCAAGGGTAGCTCCCAGCAGCAGCAGCAATCCAAGAGCCTTGACATCATTGTCTTCCTGGCTGTGCTCCTCACTCTCCCCCTCAGTCTCTGGAATTTTCTGCAGCAGCTTGGCTACACCACTGTGTCCCCCGGGTTGTTCTCCTATTTGCCTGCATGCACAGCAGCATCAACCTCTTCATCTACATCTCAGTAACAAAGTGCTGGAGGCGCTGCTCCATGGGGTCCCTCAGGGAGTGCCTCCAGAAGGTGTTTGAGGAGCCAGAAGGGAGCACTGCCCCCAGTAATGATGCCACCATGGACACAGGGGTCTGAGCCTGTTGAACCCCTCAAGTGCCCCCATGCAGGACCATGGGGCAGTGACTTAGGATCACCCTCCCACCCTTATTCCTGCAGGGAAAGGGAGCACAGGCAGTGAAAAGGGCCATATGGGAGGAATGCTCTGCAGGATTCTCATTGGAGCATGGATTTGCTCCTCCCTCACAGGTCCTAGGGCATTGTTCAACAAATGCATCCTTCCCAACACAGCTGTGACCCCAGAATTCCCCCTGGCACCTGGTTCCTGCATCCCACTGAGGTCTGATATCAATAAACAGCACCGTGAACCCTGAGCTGCCTTTGCCCCCTCTGCCAGCGCTTCCCGGCTTCCTCTGGCTGCTGCTGCCAGCCGGGAATGTGGCTGGAGGGAGGGGACAGAGAGGTAGTTAGCCAGGAAATCTGTGACTGTTTAGAAATTTCTGTAATGAACTATGTTTAATTAGTCAAGGCTTATTTGACTGTGGATTTTAGCTGGTTTTGATTTAGATCTGTGTTGGCTGAGTGTAATTAGAAAATTCTATTGACCCATAGCCCTTAGAGAATGTACTCAATAGTTGGAGAACAAAATTTAATGATGTATTTTTGATGGTTATCATACAGCTAGAAATTAATTGGACATCATAGAACAAGAATGATATCTCGAGAGGTTTAGGATTCAGAGGCCTATGCATACCAAAAGATGTAATTAAAAAATTGCAAGACAGAAATTGCAATGGTAATAAGAGAGTCATTTCCTAGGCTAGTACATTAAATTTAATAAAACATTCTTTCCTGGAAAAAACCCCAAGTTATCCATTAAACTAAGATTGATGGAATATTCTAGTACTAATTAAGAGAAACAAAACACCTATACCATGACGTAAGAAATTGGGACCAAATTTGTAAGTATCTATAAAAAATCTTGGATATTATAAGGCATAAAAATGTCTGAAAAGTGTTGTTTCTTTGATCTGTCTATCGCAAATATATTTCCAATATGTTGACAATTTTCACTCACAATTGTTATTAGTCCAACACACTTTTGATTTTAGACTTTAACGTCTTGATTTCAGAAGGGACACAGCCATGGCTTGTGCTCCCTGCAGCAACCATGATCCCCAGTGCCCAGAGCTGGGCTGGCACAGACAGGATGGCTCAGGGGCTCAGCATTCCCCACCCCGAGTACTCTGTGAGTGTCACAGCAGAGATCACCCCTGAGATCTTTAATTTTCAATTTTGTGAGCCAGGTGCAAAGGTGTGTCTGCCTTGAGAAATTCTTCCTCTCCACTGCCTTCAGCTGCTCCCTCAGCAGGCTCAGGTGGTGCAGCAGCAAGGAGAGGAGGAGGCCATGATCCTCAGCACAGCCACCCCCTTCCAGGAGCAGGGTGACACCTGTGTTTGTCACCATGGGCTCCACGGGGCATCACCCCCATACCTGGGGCTTCCCTGAGGCCACCAGCCCCACCACACCCCACACCTTCTCTCCAGCCCCACCACACCCCACACCTTCCCACCACATCTTCCCAGCAGCTCCATCATGTCCCACCCCTCACACACCACCCTCCCATCCCATTCCCCATGCAGCCCACCCACCTCCCGTCCTTCCCATCCCTCCCAGCCCCGGGCCTCAGGCTCCAGTCCCTCCCCACGGGCTGCTCACCCCAGCCTGCCCTGTAGGGCTTTGGGGCCGTCTTTCTCTTGGACATGTCCTTTCCCAGCTCCATCCCTGCTCTCCAGCCCCCCAACCTCCTCTGGACACAAACAAGAGGCACTACAGGGATGGCTCCACTGCTCTTCATTGAGCTGCAGAAGCATGGAATTGCCAGGAGGAGCAGAAACACTGCTGGGGCTCCGGAGTGGGGCAGGAGAGGAGCGGGGCTGTCTGGAGGGGCAGGCAGCCTGGGGGCAATTTCTAGAGGATGCCAGAGGGGGCATGATGCCTTAGGAGTTTAGCCTTTCTATTTTTCATATCCTGTACTGCATTAGTGCATAACTCTAAACTCCATGGAAAGTGTTAGTTAACTGTCTGCACATTTTGGTCAGACAAAACAATCCCTCTAGGCCTGAAATTCAAGAACACTCTACTGCCTCAGGCCCAGAAAAGTATAGACAAAAGTGAATTGGAGAGGGCAAACTGGGGCTAAGTGACTTCATTACCTGAAGCTGTAATTGGAGGATTAACCCCTGATTTGTGAATGGACCAAACTTATATCTATCTGAAAAACTCATGACCATTGTCCATTTTGGGTGCAGCCCCTTTCGGAGGCTTGGAGAGCCCAAGGTGAACCTTTTGAAGGCCTTTCATCAATGCCTCCTTTTATTCTCTTCACCTGCTCTGGCCTCTGTTCCAGGGAGCCAGCCCAAGGCATCAGGCAGACAGGGGCTGGAGGGGGCAGGAGGGCTCTGGATGCCACCAATCCCAAATCTGCCACTGGACAGCAGCAGAGCCCAAAAGGCCACACCTGCAGCCAGGGAGAGGTCAGGGACTGGGAACCCATCGGCATGGGATGGGATGGGATGATATGGCATGGCATGGCATGGCATGGCATGGCACGGCAAGGCATGGCATGGCATGGCATGGCATGGCATGGCATGGCATGGCATGGCATGGCATTCCACGGCATGGCATGGCATGGCATGGCATGGATGAGGAGTGATACGAAAATCAGACAGAATAAATTTCCTAACACCAAGTAATGGTTTTACCAGTTAACTATTAGGCAGCAGGACACGCAGAAGGTTCTCTCTTTATTTCTGTGTGTGTTGTGAGACTTTACATCAGTGTTTTTATTCATTATAACCATACATAGACATTACAAGTTTTTCTTATCTAAAGAACACCTTAAACATAAACGTAAATACCATTTTCCTAGAACTCATTTCCATGCATCCACTTCCTACTGAGTGTCCTCTGATGGCCCTTGAGGTTCATTCAGCGGGGTCTCTGGTGGTTGCATTCACTGAGTGCTGAGATATTAAACGTGACCCTTCCCTGAACTTTTCCTTTGGCCATGGGCTCTTGCTTCTTGTTACAGAACATGCCCTTAAAATACTGTGGACCTCCTTATGTGTTTCTGCTCTGGCTCAAACCACATTTATAACACAGGGTCCACATCTTTATGTATTTTTATCTATTTGCCCATTTAGTCTTTAAACAACTTCAGGAGAGTTGAAAATGTGTATTCTCCCCTCCTTATCAACTCCCTGCACATCAGCCCACCCCCCTCCTCCTTCTCCCACCCCACCATTTTCACCACCCTCCTCCCCTGCACATATCACTCCTCCCCACTGAATCCTTCCCACTGCAGGGAGCTGCTGAGGAGCCACATGGTCCATCCCTGGATTCTCCAAGTACTGACTGCCCATCCACTCTGACCACAGCCAGGGGCCACATCCCACTGCCTGCCCAGCGTCCATCCATGGAGGTGACCACCGTGTCCCCATCTCCTGCCTCAGCCACGGAAGGAGATGATCTGTGTGAGACAGATGTCACCAGTGTGGCCATACACAGTGTGACCATGCTCATCTGCCTCTGTGGGCTGGCTGGGAACGGGGCTGTCATCAGCCTCCTCAGCCTGAAAGTCAACAACTCTGGCATCTTTCTCCTGGCTCTTGTCGACTTCCTCTTCCTCCTCTTTGCAATCCCCTCTGCCCTCCTCATCCTGGTGGAGGACGTGTCCTGCTCTCCTGTCTTGCCCTTGATGTACATGAACTTCGTTTTCCAGCTCTCAGTTTTCTCCTGCTACTGGGCACTGTACCGGGTGACGGTCGGCAACAACGAGCGATATATGCGGAACTTCTTCAAGCTCTGCTGCCACTGTGACCCTCCTCTGCGCCTGCTGTGGGTACTGGTCCATATCAGATACTGGGCCTTCTTTGTTGTCTTCACTGTCATGCCCACGGTGACATTCCTGTGCCCATCACACCAGCAGGAGCACTGCCAGGCAGCTCTCATCTCCATGTACCTCATCATCCTGCTCCTCATTGCTGCACCCATGCTCATTTCAAGCACAGGTGATTTCTTTCAGGCCAAGTGGGGCTCCCAGCAGCAGCAGCCTGAGACGCGCGACATCGTTATCTTCGTCATTGGGCTCCTCACTCTCCTCCTCAGCCTCTGGAATTTCCTGCAGGAGTTTGGTTACATCGATGTGCCCTCCCAGGTTGTTTTCCTGATCACCTGCATCAACAGCAGCATCAAACCCTTCATCTACTTCTTGATGGGGAGGTGCTGGAGGCCCTGCTCCATGGAGTCCCTCCAGCTCTCCCTCCAGAGGGTCTTTGAGGGGCAGAAAATAAAAAATGCACGCAAAAATGATGCCACCAGGGACACGGGGGTTTGAGTCTGTTGATTCCTCCCACTGCTCTGCTGAGTGACCCCAGGAGAGTGACTGAGGGATTCCTTGAGTCGCCTTAGTAATCAATACCACAGGATCACACTCCCCATGGTGGTGTACTCCTGCAGGAGAAGGGACCAGTGGCATTGGCTTGGGTGATTTTTGTGGGATGCTCTGCAGGGAGCACATTGCAGCATGGCTTTCCTCCTCCCTCCTGGATCCACATGGCTCCAAGCAGTGCAGCTGGGCTCAGTGATGCTCCCCAGCTCTATTCCCCATGCAATGACCCTCATGGCCTCGGCCCCAGGGAATGAACTCCATCTCCTTTGGCTCAGCAGATGAGTTCCATGGTGTTTTCAGGGAGCTCTTGCCTGCAAATCATGGGACACCTTAATCCATGGGGACACACCCAGCACGGGGTGGCAGTGATTTCCCAAATCCCTGCAGGGCTGGTGCCTCTGGATGGCAGGAGAGGGATTGGGATCAGGGAGCATCCTTCCCCTTCTGTCCAGCAGAGCCAGTCCTGCATTCCCAGCTGATGGGAAGGGACACCAGGTAGGGCTGCAGAGCTGGGGAGGGACAGCAACATTCCCTTATCCTTTCAGTGGCAATTTGTCACTTTCTTGAATTCCAGAATTGAATCCTTCTGAGTAAAGTGCAGGGTCAATAGGGAACTCCATTGATCCTTTGTGCCTGTACCAGAAAGTACATGGAATATGGAAATTCCCATCACCAGATGCTTGGACCATTGAATTGCACAGAAATTAGGGGATTGTGCTGCTCTTCTGCAGAATGGGGCCATCCATCCTCTGGTTCCCCAGCATCAGTGTCCAGGGAAGCCCTTGAGCACCTCCATCCTGAACCTGGCCACCCTCAGGAGGAGCTGCACAGCCACTCTGCACAGCAGCTCCAGCCACAGTCCAGCCTCTCCTGATCTTTGTCATTCTGTAACTACCCATCAATCAGATTTGGATCCATAGTTTGTGTTTCTATCCGCTGTGGTAGTCCCAGCCTCTGAATATGTTCAATAAACAACATCCAGGCTTCACTGCAGAGCCTGTCTCTGTTAAACAGTGTCCAAAATGGCTCAATTCCTTCTTTTATCCCATTCTAAAGCCTCTGGCTGCTCTGGGAGCAGGACAGGTCCCTGTCTCATACCAGAGCCCTTCCTAAGGCATGTGCCTGCAATGGTTGGGATGCTGTTGGCAGTGCCAAGAGCTCCTGATTCCTCCTGGCACAGACCTGGGCAGCAGCCATATCTCTTGCTCAGGGGGAAGTTGTCCCTCCTTTTCCCACTGCCTTAAATCCAGGGGAAACACCCGTGCCACTGCTTCTGGAAAGGGAAGTGAGAGTGAAAGCCGTGGGTGGTGAGTCAGGCTTTGGAGACACAGGTGAGGTTAAACACCTAAGGAACATTTATTAACAGATGTGTTAATAATTAACAGAAGAGACTTTGACTTCTGAGAGGGTTTTTCTCTACCTGATTCCCATTTCCTGTCCATTGGAAAGACAAAACTTTCCATGGTCCAAGCTCTTGTGCATGGAATAACACCTGAGCCAGGGAGACCCTCCCAAGGCAAGTGCAGAAGGACCATTATCCTTCGATGTATCTTTCTACTTCCCAGCACCTTCCTTCACTCCTGTGTCACCCAGGCCACTCCCTACCTGAGCTTCCTTTCAAAAGAGCAAGACTTCAAAGCAAAAGGTTTCCTGACAGTCCCTTCCCATGGCAGATGGACAGATGGAATGAGATGATCTCTACCATTCCTTCCAACTTGCCCTGGGGCCACTTTATCAGATGAATTGTGTCGCCATTCATCTGTTTAGCCCCGAAATAGGTTTTGCACATTTCAGACTGGTCCTTGAGCAAAGAGGGGCAGAGCAGATGCAGCAGTTTGTTTTCAGAAGCTGCGCTCACTCCTCCCCATTCCTCCTCCCAGACCGTGCTGTCTGCAGCACAGACATGCAGCACAGAGCTCTCCTTTGCTTTTGGGTTTTTTCAGCTGGCTGAGGCAAAGAAGTTACCTGGACTGTGGTTTTCCTTTTGCTTGGAACTGTTCAAACCTGCTCTGGACTGAAAACCCAGAAGAGCACTGGGAGCTCACACCTGTGGCCCACCGGGGCCTGGGACGCGGCATTTTCCAGCACCAGAGGGACTGATAAGAGACTGAGTGAGACAAACTACACTCCACAACAAGGACTGTCTGAATCTGCCAAGCATTCAGAACAGCAAGAGATGTTATTCTTTAATATTGTTTTCATTTCTTATCCTTGTGTATACTTTGCTTGTAAAATAAACAGTTTTTTCCACTTTTCTCTCAGGAAATCTTTTCCTGAACCAGCTGGGAGGGAGAGGCTGCTTGAATTTATTTTCTAGAGGGATCCCATTGGAAGGTTTCCTCCCAAATTTACCGAAAACCAGGACACAACCCAAACCATTCCATGAGGATTCCTGGTGTCACCCACTACTGCCCCAGGCAGGAGTTCCCCTGCTGCACACAGCACCAGCCTGACAGAGCTCAAGGAGCATTTGCACAATGCTCTCAGGCACAGGCTGGGATTGTTGGGATGTCCTGTGCAGGGCCAGGAACTCGACACCAATATCCTTGTTGGTCACATCCCACTCTGGATATTTTATGGCTCTGTTTTATTCTGAGTATTTTCCTGATAATTCCACTTGATGATGACTCCCCTGTGCTGTCCCTATGCCCTGGCTCTGGCACAAAAGCCTCAAAAGCCCTCTGCAAGGCAACACTACCAGAGGGGGTGAATTCCTTTGCACAGCTCCCAGCCAGGCAGTCAATCAGAGGGAGGGCATTGCTCTGGGCACAGGTGAGCAGGAGAGAGGGGCTGGGGGCAAAGACAGAGAAGTCAAACGCCCTCAGCAAGAGCCAGTGCCCAAAATCAGCAGGGAAGAAGGGGAAGGAGATGACAGGAGCAGCAGGAGCAGGGCACAGAGCTTCCCTGGGAGCTGTTTCCATGAGCAGCACAGGAGCCTGGCCAGCAGGGCCAGAGCAGAACAGGGCAGGCTGAGCACTGAGAAGTGGCAGCTCAGCACCAAGGCCGTGGGCACCAAAGGGCAGCAATGGAGGGTGGCAGTGAGCAGCAAGGAGAGCAGCCAGAGCAGGGCACACAGGAGCACCGGGAAGCACTGGGAGCAGTGGCAGGGCCAGCAGGACACGGGAGGACAAACAGAGCTGTGACAGCACTGAGGGCTGTCAGAGAGCAGACAGTGGCAGTGAAAGCCAAGAGGATGGGGACCTTCAGCCCAGCTGGCACAGCCCACGAGCCCAGCTGGTGGCAGAAGCTCTCTGGGACAGAAAATATCCCCAGGGTGATGGTGATGGAGAGCAGGAAGGTGGAGCCAGCCATGGCCAGGCTGAGCACATAGAGGGTGATGGGGTTCCTGTGGATGCAGAAGCTGAGGAGCCAGAGCACAGCCCCATTCCCACCATCCCACGCAGGCACAGCAGCAGCAGCAGCAGCGGGACAGGCACTTTGCTCCACTGCCTGCTGTCACACTGGCTCCAGTTGTCGTGGCTCTCCTCATTCCAGCTCCCCTGGGATGCCTTCCCACCGGGCTGGCTCCAGCAGGCAGGGCTGGCTCCCTCCGTGCCAGGGGACAAAGTGCTCATGGGGACACCTCTGCTGCTTCTCCTGCCCTCACACAGCTGCAGGGGTGACAAACAGACACACCAGAGCAACGCTGCTGTCCCCCAAACATGGCTTTTCCATCTTTTCCTACCCACAGCTTCCATGTGGAGCAGCACAGGGAAGGGTGAGGGACAGGACAGATGGCAAGGAGGATGTGGGAGCCTGGTCCTGTGTGCCTGGCACAAAAGCCAGGGAGATACCTCCTTCCTGGCTGTGGAAATGACAGAGCTGGAGCAGGAAAACAATTGGAGAAGGAGAGGATTGCCCATGGAGATATCGGAGAGCAAATGGCTTTGGGATGGATCTGACCTGGACTCTCAGGTGTCAGTTGATATCACTGAGCTGCTGGATTCCTTCAGCAGGACACTCCTTTCAATATTCCCTCCCTTTTCCCACACTATTTATAGCTTTGAATTCCCTACAGACCTCAGTTCTGCCCCCAAAATCAATAACCAGGTTCCACCCAATGAGGGGGCCCTGGTGAAGGTGGAAGAGAAGAGTCTGACCTGGTTTCCTCTGGCAGCCTGGAGAACTTGCCCGCAGTGCACTGCCCTCAGCTGCCAGGCTCCAGCTGCTGTCCCTGGGCCGGGATCTGCAGGAGGTTCCCTGGAATGGTCCCTTGGGAAAGGGGAGCGCAGCCCGCGGGCTGAGCCCGAGCAGCGTCCGGCGCGGGCTCTGTCCCAGCTCCTGCCACAGCCCCTGCTCTCCGTGCTGCCTCGTGTTCTCCAGGGCTCTCACACACAGGCAGCTGCCTCAGAGCCTGCCACGGGCTCAGGGCTCTGCTCCTCAGCTGCTCTTCACTCTGCCCGGGAAATGAGCAACGGGAGAGAGCCTCAGCAACCACACCTGTGCCCAAACCACTTGGGCTCCATCTCAGCTTCTATTTTATAGCAACTTCAATCTTGAAATCTTGTCTTTTGAACTGCCTTAACTTGCTCCCTGTCATTCCTGAGGTGGATCCTAAGGACCCTGCACTACAAATGTCCTCTTAAAGTTTGATTTCTGATTCAAATCTAGTTTTGCCATGTGTATGCCACAATTTCAGAGGTACTTCACCTTCACCACACAGTTTCCAAGAAGATTTATGCAATAAAAAATTCTTTGGCTCAGCTGGAGGCCTGGCACACAGCAGAGGGATGATTTAGGATGTCAGCAATGGCATTTCTTCCGAGAAGAGGCAAATCCATGCTGCTCTCTGGGCTTTAATCCTTAGAAAGTTGCAGGTTTCCCTTGAGTCATCCGCTACATCCTCTACATCCTCCCTTTGCAGTCAGGCAGCAGCCTACAGAGAATTCCAAGGAATTCCTGGAAAGCTGGGGTGAGATGATTCCTACCCAGGTTGACATGTGCCT